TTCCGCTAGCGCCGGTATTTAGGGCAGTGACTGCGCTTATTTGTTTATCTCACTACGATCGGTATTCCTCATAGGAATCTCCTCAAGTCCTGCCGAACGCTAATAATACTCTTTACATTACTTGTAACAGTTTATCGTGCTAAATATCTTCGCCACCGGCAATCCTTCCGGAATAACAATCAGCGTTAGCCGTCACCGTCACCAATTCTTCAATAGGTTATGAGCCCCGAGTAGCGCCGACAGCTATCATCCGATTGTTATTTCTACCCCTTATCGACAATGGTCAAGGATAAGCTTGATGAGCTGCTGGACCTCCACAACTACTCCACCTGGCAAATCAGGTTTAGCGCGATGTGCATGGAGCTTGGGCTTGAGCAATCCCTGCTCGCCGAGCCATGCAACGAGGAGCAGATTCGACAATCACGGAAGGTCATCAATCTGCTCATCAAGAACGTCAAGGATCATCATTTGCCGATGGTTACCGGTGCTGCCAACGCGAAGAAGGCCTGGGACGCCTTGGGATCTATGTTTGCTGCCAACAACAAACAGGCAGGCGGCTGGCAGGCAGGCGGCAGGCAGGCGGCTGGCAGAAGTTAAGGCCTGGCTTCTGCTCCCGTCGCGTCCCGGCGCGTCCGGGTTCAAATCCGCCTGCCGACCTCTCGGGGTGTTTGAGAGGTGATGAAATGGGAGGTGGCCCCCCATCTTGTGGACGGTGTAGGACGTGATAAAATCAACTCGCGAGCTGACCAGGAACTAAGTTGACGCGCCGTTGATCCGCTAGATTTGGTTGGATGCTGGTGGTGAGTTGCCAAACTCAAAGAGTACACTCTGAAGTCGGATGGGGTGAATGGCTTAGGGTGCCCCTCTAGCAGGGGAGAGCAGGGAATTGCCTCGGGAAGGAGGCCACTGGTGAAGCTTAACCACCCTGTAACAACATCAACAACATCAACAAAGGCAGGCGGCTGGCAGAGGTTAAGGCCTGGCTTCTGCTCCCGTCGCGTCCTGGCGCGTCCGGGTTCGAATCCGCCTGCCGACATCCCGGGGTGTTTGAGAGGTGATGAAATGGGAGGTGGCCCCCCATCTTATGGACGGTGTAGGACGTGATAAAATCAACTCACGAGCTGACCAGGAACTAAGTTGACGCGCCGTTGATCCACTGGATTTGGTTGGATGCTGGTGGTGAGTTGCCAAACTCAAAGAGTACACTCTGAAGTCGGATGGGGTGAATGGCTTAGGATGCCCCTCTAGCAGGGGAGAGCAGAGAATTGCCTCGGGAAGGAGGCCACTGGTGAAGGAGGCCACTCGGGAAGGAGGCCACTCGGGAAGGAGGCCACTCGGGAAGGAGGCCACTGGTGAACCACCCTGTAACAACATCAACAACAACGCCCGCAAGGTGTCTCTACGTCAAGAATTCAGCCGTTTTAAGATGGTCGACGGCGAACCTCTTCCGATGTACTTTGCACGTGCAAGGCAGCTGCAAACAGATTTATTGGGAGTTGGCCATGTAGTTAATGACTCCGAGCTGGTGTACACCGTCCTAGTTGGTCTACCCAGTCGGTACAGCGTGGTGACGACTACATTACTTATGCGTGACGGCGATTTGGACATGGCGAGCGTCACAGCAAAGCTTCTCTCTATCGAGACGGCTAACGGTGGGTCGGGCAAGCCTACCGAGTCGGCAGCCTTCGCGTCTGTCGGTGGTTCGACGTTCGGTGCTTCTACTTCTGGTTATGGTAGCCGGGGGCCGGCTAACAATAGCTCGGGACACAGTCGGAAGCAAGTCATCTGCTACTACTGTAATAAACCTGGGCACGTGGTAAAGGACTGCAGGCAGCTTAAAGCGCTGAAGCAGTCGTCAAATTCTGGCTACAAGGGTGGCTACAACAACAGTGGCAACGGAGGTAGTGGCAGCGGAGCTAGCGGCAGCAAGCCAGGATCCGGTGGATCAGCTAGGGGGCCAGGAGTTCCGCGGCAGGTAGCATTCGTGGCATACAACAGCAATCGTCCGACGGAATGGTTTCTGGACTCAGCCGCCACTCACCACATAACGTATGACCACTCAGAACTTTTCAACGTGCGGTTGTTGGAGCCATGGGAGCGCTTCAACATCATGGGCATCAAGGGACAGTCTCTTCGGCCGACTGAAGTTGGCACGCTTATGATTCGGTCTAACGTCAACGATAAACAGGCCATTACTTTCAAGAAGGTCTACGTCGACGAGGAGGCCACCGCCAAAATCCTATCGGTCCGCATCATTGATGATCGTGGAGGCAGTGTGGTCTTCGGCGGCGGACAGGCGAAAGTATACGTACAGAACCAGTTGGTGCTGACTGGAAAGCGGGATGGGGACTTGTATCCCGTCTGCTACAGCAGTGGAGGTACGGGAGCTCTGAAGAGGACGCAACAGGATACCTTCTGGTGGTGATGCAGTGTGTGCTGCCGTGGGTATCGGAGCTGAACGTGCAGCACTTTGGCACCGAAGGTATGGCCACTTAGGATACAGCAACCTTGAGGCGTTGCTGCGTCATGATATGGTAACTGGGTTCGATGTTGACCGACACAGCATACAATCAGCCAGCGCGTGTGTGTGTGAGACTTGCGTCTTTGCAAAGCATACACGTGGTCCTTTTCCGTTATCTGGGCATAAGGCAGCGCAGCCTCTCGCGCTCATTCACATGGATGTAATGTAATGTAATGTAATGTAATGTTACAGAGTGGGAGGCTTCTGGGCCGCTTTATCACATTGTCAGTTCTAGATCATTTATCACCTTATAGCACCATCCACCACTACCACACTGTACTTCGCCATACGAACTGTAAGTCCAAGGCGGCGGATCCAGCCTTCAGGGACCCCTCCTCATCCATTCACCCGAACACCCGAAGAGACGGAGGGTTCGGCAATCGCCACCAATCCAGCGTGCGAATCTGGTCCATCAACTGCGACCTCAACTCCACATCTCAGCAGCTAGCCATAATCTCGCGCTCCCGACTAATTCGGGGGTCTCCCCAGTAATCGAACCCAGGACCTTAAACCGCTATTTGCAGTAGTGTCAACCCAGACCAGACCATGGATGTGTGTGGACCTATGCCTGAACCTTCACCTAGTGGTTCGCGTTACGTGACAACTCTGCTTGACGACCATACTGGTCTTTCAGCTGTTGCGTTTACAGCGACCAAGGAGGAGGTCTACCAGAAGATGGTGGTTATGATAGCGGAACTGGAGCGCGCTTCTGGCAGGCAGGTTAAGGATGTGCGTACGGATCGTGGCGGGGAGTTCGTTAATACTCTCACGAAGGCCTATTTCGCTTCCAGGGGTATTGTACACGGAACTACGGTAGGCTACACCCCTGAGCAGAACGGAGCTGCGGAACATTTAAATCGCACTCTTTTGGACAAGACTAGGGCTATGCTCGTTGAGTCTGGACTGCCTAAATCATTATGGGCGGAGGCGTTAGCGACAGCCAACTATCTTAGGAATGTGTCGCCAACTGCTGGGTCAACCGTCACTCCGTACGAAGCTTTCTTTAATGTTCGTCCGAACGTCAGTCACCTGCGAGTCTTTGGATGTGTTGCCTACATCCACGTACCCGACGTCAAGCGCGACAAGTTCGACCCGGTAAGCAGGCGTGGAATACTTGTCGGATACGGGAACGGTGGACAGTATCGTGTACTATACGAGGACGGCATTATTGCCGTAGTTTCTAACGTTCGTTTCGATGAATCTAATGTCGGCCGGTGGCGTAATGCCGGGGACTCCGATTATGAGTCCGATGCCGACGAGGAGGAGGAGTTTCGCACTAGTTTATCTGGTGAGGGATCGCTGCCTAGGGCTGGCGAAGGGACACCAGGTAGCACCGTCGGCGAGGGATCGCCGCATTTGGGTGGCGAGGGGGCGCCGGCTGGGGCTGGACCTTCCAGCAGTGCGAATGGGCAAGGAATCAATCAGCCTGATGTGGAAATGGCGGGAACTAGGTATCCAGTTTGAGAGCGTAAACGCCCTGGCGAATGGTGGCGAAACGAACCTGGTCGCACTGTCACTGGTCGCGTTAACGCTGCTTTCTCTGCTGGTATTCCTGAGCCTAATTCGTTTGCGGAAGCCATTGCATGTCCACATGCAGACGACTGGCGGCGTGCGATGGACGAGGAGATCGCCGCCCAGATGGCTAATAGTACTTGGGAGCTGAAGAAGCCACCTCCTGGTACTCGTTTGTTGCCGTGTCGTTGGGTATATAAGGTTAAGTACAGCGATGACGGCAGCGTGGAGCGCTTTAAGGCGCGTTTAGTTGCCAAGGGTTTCGAGCAACACGAGGGGATTGATTATGGGGAGTTGTTTGCCCCCACCTCTCGTGGTTCGTCATTACGTGCTTTATTAGCAGTTGCCGCAGCGCGGAACATGACGGTGCATCAGCTAGATGTGTCTACTGCATTCCTGAATGGTGAGCTGAAGGAGGAGTTGTGGATGGAGCAACCGCCTGGGTATGTATCCAGTGACCGGTCGCTTGCGTGCAAGCTGCAGAAATCTATTTACGGTTTGAAGCAGGCACCCCGTTGCTGGTATGAGAAACTCCCTAAGGCACTGATTGGGTGGGTAACCCATGGGTTACCCATCGGTTACCCACCTTCAACCCCCCGTAGCCCATAGGTAACCCCCTTGTAAGTTCCTACCCAGCAGGAGGGGTAACACGGCCCCAGGGTAACCCCCTCCGTTGCCCTGGACTATGGACATTGGCCTATAGGCTACTCATCTTATTTGCTGCGCACTTCGTGAATTCATTTTAGTACATTTCTGTAAATGTACATGTTGAACCTACAGTATCCCGGTAGCTCGGGAAGCATCGTTCGCCAATATGAATTAAAGGCCTCTAACGCTACAGGAAAATTTTAGTAGAAGATTTAGAACTATGTATGTATTCAGTTCTAGCGTTTGTTCCCGCTTTGAGGGCATGAAACTCCCGTGCCGTATTATTGTCCCATTCGCATTGTCTCATTCGCATTCATACAGTTCGAAGTGGATTGGGGAACGCAATTTAGCTTGAAATCCATTGTGTCTCTGGCTAGTTCTGAAAAGAAATCAATCGTGGATTGACAAGTTTCCCTTTCCCTTCTTCGCCGGTCAATCGCAGACACCTCCGCGCCAGGCTCTGCCAGCTGCAGGCTTGTGGCAAACGGCCGCTGAGGGGCGACTGGACAGCCGGCGGGCCGGGACGGGGTTGGTTCGGTCGAGTCTTTTAGCCCAGTAGTGTGGCCTTGAGAGCTCAGAAGGGATAGTGCTTGGTGTAGGGGGAAACTAGTCAGCTTAACCTGCAGGGATTTTCCCGGGTTCAGGAGGTAGCTACCTCTATAGATGTCGCCACATGAGAGTCTGAGAGTCGTTCGAAGTTCTTTGGATAGGTTTATGCGTCATGCGCGTGTTGCCCCGCTGAGGGCATTGGTGGGCAGCACGAGGGGGGTATAGTGGCCGTGGGGCTGGGGTTGTGTTTTTCTGCAGTGTAAGGACCCTTAGCAACTTGTTTCCGCCTTCCCATATCAACCATCCAGGAAAACAGAAATGAAGAGGCCACGCGTACGTTGGTAATTTCATTTATCCCAGAATCCCAGCCCCAAATAACCGTCATAGCTTAGATTTGAATTCAGGTTCAAACCTGAGTGGAATCCGGAAGAGTTCATTCTCTATGGTATCACTTCAGTAAATCCTGCAGCTGACTAGCATCTTAAGCTATGAATACGAACGACAAGTAAGGGAGCCTAAGGCTCTATGTATCCGAAGGATGATGTAGCTATTGTTTGGAAGCGGCCACCTTCTCCACTGCCGCCTCAAGAAGATCTTCCTTTTCAACCTTATCCCCCTTCAACCTTATCGCCTGCCGCCTCTATCCCCCGCCGCCTTCATCCCCTGCCGCCTCCTCCCCTGCCACCTCCTTCCCTGCCGCCATCATCCCCCGCCGCCTCCTCCCCTGCCGCCTCCTCCCCTGGCGCTTCTCGCCTGCCGCCTTCTTCCCCGCCGCCTTCTTCCCCTGCCGCCTTCATCCCCTGCCGCCTCCTCCCCTGCCGCTCCTCGCCTGCCGCCTTCTTCCCCGCGGCCTTCATCCCCTGCCGCCTTCTTCCCCTGCCGCCTTCTTCCCCGCCGCCTTCATCCCCGCCGCCTTCTTCCCCTGCCGCCTTCTTCCCCGCCGCCTTCATCCCCTGCCGCCTTCTTCCCCGCCGCCTTCATCCCCTGCCGCCTTCTTCCCCGCCGCCTTCATCCCCTGCCGCCTTCTTCCCCGCCGCCTTCCTCACCTGCCGCCTCCTCCCCTGCCGCCTTCTTCCCCGCCGCCTTCATCCCCGCCGCCTTCCTCCCCTGCCGCCTCCTCCCCTGCCGCCTTCTTCCCCGCCGCCTTCATCCCCTGCCGCCTTCTTCCCCTGCCGCCTTCATCCCCTGCCGCCTCCTCCCCTGCCGCCTTCTTCCCCGCCGCCTTCAT